CGACAGGGCCAGAGGACCCAAGCCCCACCAGGCAGCCACTGGGCCGAGCCATCACATACCCAAGCACCCAGCCCCAGACATCGAGAGCCACCAGTGCGCCGGCGGGCAAAGGCACAACCCACCAGAGGGCAGCRCGGCAGAGGAAGCAGTGGGCCCTCAAATAAACCCAAAGAAGGGGCCACCCAAATCCCAGTCTGACAAAAAATACAAGCATACACAAACACAATCACACAGTCCCACCCTCATCCTCTCACCCACTCATTCAAGACACACAAGATGGACGCCAAATTCCACTCACTCCCCATGCAAATCACATCTCACATCCGAACCCAGGAGGTAGACCCCTTCAATCTGGGGTGGAGAGGAGTGGACAGCCAAGTCTCGGCCCGGGCTGCACCAGGCCAAYCAGCCAGCCCCCTGCCCCAGCTGAGCCACGMCCCAGACCACCCMCACACACCGCCAAAGGCCAAGCGCACACCCACAAGGACCCCATCCCCAAAAGGCCAACGGGGAACGGGGAAGTGAAAAAGACCCCAACACACATCATAAACTACATCTAACATAATGCATGTTGATTATTTTACCCAAAAAATGATAACATCCCACAACTATGAAGCTGCATGGGTACAAATTTACCAAAATTTGTCATTTAAAATTTCCATTTTGCKACTACTTTTGCTGCAGTACAGTTGTACTGGGAAGTGGGAATTTCCCACTGTTTATGAGAGAATGTGTTGAAATGCTGTTTCTATGTAGGAAATACCAGGTAGAGCTCAGTTACTGTTTGTTAGCTGTGCTCAGTCGTAGCAATGAGATGAGGAACATGATGTTTCGTGGTTAGTCGAAGTTAAACACACAACATCAAAGTTATTCACAACTGGCCTTTGGAGGGCCACTGTAACGCTCATGTGGCCCTTGGTGAAAATGACACCCTCTCCTAAAGGAATCCAGATTGTTGATGCATTTTACATCAAAGTTTTAAACTTGGATCATCTTATCTTGAATGATAATGAAGTTTTTTTCCCTTTTAGTAAAATGAAACATACTGCATTGAATCTGTTTGTGGTTGYAGAATGYATTGGGGGTGACTCTCAGCTGCAACCACACCAGACTTTAGCTCAATATTTGTAAATTAGTCTGCTTATACCCACGCTGTTTCATTTCAGTCTGTAATAAAAGGTTTAGTTTAGGAGTTTCATGTTTGACGCGGCATCTGAAAACACAGAAAGAAGTGTAAAATATCCTAAACACCAACGAGAATAAGCAGTAAAATTATTCGTTGCGGCAGACAAACTAAACAGACTCCGTCAAAGACTGAAACAAACCTTTTCCTGTGTGATGGATCGTTGTGTTTTAGACGTTCTGTCAGTGACGTGTCACGGTGCTTTGTCATGCTACAGAGATGTGAATGATAGCAGATGTCTTTCTTTTTTGAGGAACGCAAACGTCAGCGGCGATAATGTGAGGAGAGCCCAGGAAACCTCTGCTGCAGGAGATAGTTCACCGTGGAACATGACGGGAAATTTGGGAGGGAAACAAATGAGGTCTAGCGGAGGTCTTGTGCTGGTTTTGACCCCATGATGACAGGAACACATGGAGCTCAGCTTCAGTCCGCAGACACATGATTTATCTTTAAACCAGAGTTAAGAATGCGTCATTGAATGTCTTTCTGTCTCTGTTAAGCCCTGTGTTTGGTACATATATATAT